TCTCTATTTTTCTTCTCTCTCTCTCTCTCTCTCTCTCTCTCTCTGCATTTTTTTTAAACGTGATGAAATACATTTTTTAAAATTTTCAAATATAACAAAGAAGGAAAAAATATGCCATGCAATAAGAGTTGTAGAAAAATTAACAATAATTCATCTAGGCCAATGCCTTTACAATGATCGATATTATTTTCTCATTACGCATTTTTGCATATATAGCGATATGATTTTGTTGGCACGCGAAAAATTATTTTCAAATTTAAAAATCTAAAGAACTTCACGGTTCTTTAATGAACTAGTATTAAATGACGCGCCCTTAGTTCTAAATTAGACCTTTTTCAGGTGAACATGTTAAAAATTTTTAAACATGTAACTAACAGGTAAAGAGACTCGTATTTTAGATTTAAATCTTATTTTTATACGAAGACTGTATTATTCGCATCGACTTTTAATCACGCTCATATAGTGATATGTAGCTAAAATTATAAGAAACGGTCCTTGTAAAAGTGTACTTTTCGTGAAATACTAACGAATTTACACGTTCAATTAATCATTGAATCACGATCGCGAGTCGTTCGCGGCTGTCAAAAGCGAAGACAATCCGCTCTTACAGATTAATAACTCATACATGTTCTCACACTTAGTAACACTCCCTTAGACCTACTTAGGCGGTACTTACATTCTCTGAACTGGCATCAAGACATTGTAGCTTACACAAATGTATTGTACACAAACAGAATTAAACAATTTGTCTCTGGAATGTTTTGCCGCTCTCCTTTCTCCGCAAATGTTCCTAATTAAACCTAATTTAATACCTAAATTAAAAACTAAAAGAAAAAAATATATTCTCTTTTTCTTACGCGAAACATCGCCGTTTTTACCTTGTTGAGTCTGGAATGTAGAATTTACCTCCGAAGAGGTAGTAAGAAAAAGACTATGAGCGATCAACAAATGCCATCGCGGATGATCGAATCGTCGATTAACAATATGACATCTAATAAATTATTTTAATAATTTAACGTAGAATAATATTGATGATCAATTAAACTTATTGCACACGTTTTTTTAAATGAAATCGATAATAGAGCAAAATTGCTTGTATTTCCCATTGGCAATAGATATGAACATCCTTGTCTTCGAAATACTTCTTGAATACCGAGAAACGCGCGATCAGGGATAAAGACTCAAAAGTAAATCATCTCCGATTACGACACGCATGCTATTGTTGCGTGAGAACAATGCAAATTATTCGAACGCGACTTGCATTAAGGGAATTATAATTCTCGCGTTTTTCATTCGAACTCGCACATGGCACTCCAAGGGTCAGCAGAAAGGCATAACTGCGCGGATATCGTCTAATACGATCTCCTTAAAGCATACACGCGAATACATGTTTTCATTAATAGTGGTGCGTGTTCACCGTTTTAACTGCACTAGAGTTCGTCTCTAGTCATAGCAAGCTTAGGATGGGAGTATTTTAAATTTGGCACTTGACTTTTCTAACGGATAACAACTGCCTTCATTCAGACTCATCGAAGACAATTTGTGGTTCTCAAAAATTATTTAATACCGAAAAAGAAAAAAAAGTAATTTATTACACATTATCCAGACGAACAATCGACGATTCGCCCGCAAGGATCGATACAACACATCGTTCTTGGTATTCCTCGATAGCATCGAGCATCCCGCTTCCTTGTTATCCTCGTGGAAGCGCGAATGATTAGTGAACGAAAGTGACGATCGAGAGCTAATTCGATGGTCGATACGATCACGTTCGTCCACAAGCCCATCTGGGTCAATCTCTCGTAATACTCTTAGTAATACTCTTAAGGCTACAACATGAAACTCAAATCATAATCGATTCGAGCGCCGTGCAGTGCTCGCAAGTTATCCTAATTAAATGCAGTTTCTCGAGTACAAAATTCTCTAATTATATTGTCCTCGCAAACGTTTTGCAAAAAACGTTTCGTTGCACCGATCAATTTCCCGCTTTGTTTAACACACTTTGAGCTCGCCGATAAAAGATCGATGAATCTGCGTCCGTTTCGGTCGTTTCCCGACGAATATCGAGGAAATGCATGGAATTTGCGACGGTTGATCGAGCGGTTCCGAGTGGCTTCGCCAGGAATTCTCTTCTTGCGAATCCGCGAGATTTATCTGCCAAAGCGGGTCTTGGCGATCGAATATCGTTTCCCAGGCAGCCAAGAGCCGACGCGCTCGGAACCGTGATCGCGATTGTGCGAATGACGACGCGAGAAGGCGCGGTATCACAGCTTCGATGGATCGTAATTCTCGAAGGACCATCTCTGTCTCGAGGCATTCGGGGAGCATTCCTCCATCACCAGTTGCTGCTTGCTCTCCGTGATTGCCAGACACTTGTCGCTGCTACCGTGCCTGATATGATTAGTCTAGAAACAGAAATACTTGACTTGAGTTTCCCATCAAAGAACAATTGAAATTACTAAGGATTATTATAATTAGAAATATGTACATATATATATATCTGAGTCGGAGA